TATATTTTGTTTTTTCATTGTATGTGATTCAAAAAATAATCTTATGATATATAAATCTTTACAATCTTCAAGTTGAATCCATCTTCAGCTAAAATGAAACAGAGAATCAAAAAATCCTAACACATGTCCACAAACATTCGAAGATAATTAATTTCTTTATTTAAAAGAAAACTATTAGATATTGCATTGATGAAAAAAAAAAATTGAATATATGCAAAGCGTAGCAAAAGGGTTTTCCCAAAACTGTAAACAAATTCTTTGCTTTCTTCATATGACAGAAACATACTTCTCCTATAGACTCTGCTTCAATCTTATATTTATATTTATCTTTCTGAGTCATTCTTTAATCTTATCATCGATCTTAAGTTCTTTTGTTTTGCTCTTTGAAAGTTTGAAAATGGCAGTGAACGTTGATGCAGAGTACCTCAAAGAGGTAGAAAAGACTCGGAGAGACCTTCGAGCTCTCATCTCTTCAAGAAACTGTGCTGCCATTATGCTCCGTCTCGCGTAAGATCTTATTCTCCCTCAGAAATCATTTCTCCATTCTACGTTTTTGTGTCCAAATGCAAATTCTTTTGTGTGTGTGTGCGCATATAGATGGCATGATGCAGGAACCTATGACGCTAAGAAGAAAACCGGAGGTCCCAATGGATCGATTAGGTTCAAGGAAGAGCTAAACCGCTCGGAAAACAAAGGTTTGGAGAATGCAGTCGCCTTCTGCGGTGAGATTATGATGCCTTTATCTTCAGGACATGACTTCTTTGGTTGCTTTTTCTTTTGATGTCTGAAGTTTGGTTTCTGGTTACAGAGGAAGTAAAGGCTAAGCATCCACAAGTCTCTTACGCAGACCTTTACCAGGTCAATAGCATCTCTTATAAACCGTTAACCCATAAAACTTTCCTACTCCTTGATGATGTGTGTTTGACAGATTCTTTTGTTTTCAATTCAGCTCGCAGGAGTTGTTGCAGTGGAGGTTACCGGTGGCCCTGCAATCCAATTTACTCCAGGCCGCAAGGTACTTACACTTATCACTAAAGGGTATTGCGCTAAATTCATAGTCGCTGAGTGAGTTACCATTTGCAGGATGCTGATTCCCCAGACGAAGGAGAACTTCCAGATGCGAATCAAGGTTCATCCCGCAGCTTGTAGCTCCTGCAACAGAATTCTATTTCACAAACTGAATAAACCTCTTCTTGTGGATTATTGCAGGTGCTTCACATCTAAGAACTCTCTTCTCTCGAATGGGTTTATCGGATAGAGACATTGTAGCTCTCTCTGGAGGCCACACTTTGGTAAACTACCTAACTAATTCTCCTGAAAATATCTGCCGGTCACTAAACCTCTTTTTGTTTAACCAATGTGGTTCCTGCTTTTCTATATAGGGACGTGCACATAAGGAGAGATCCGACTTTGAAGGTCCTTGGACACAAGATCCTCTCAAGTTTGATAACTCGTATTTCGTGTAAGCCAACAACAAACTTAGAGTGAGAGAAAGATTTCTGAAACTTACATTGTCTGCTGATTGATGTTTCAGAGAGCTTCTAAAAGGGGAGACTCCGGGATTGTTACAACTGAATACCGACAAGGCTCTACTTGGTGATCCCAAGTTCTACCCCTATGTTAAGCTGTATGCAAAGGTAGATTAGATTTCAGTATGATTATAAGAAACTTTTAGCTTAGATGATTCTCTGGTTTCATCAACAACAAAAACATGTATTATGATGTGAATGTCAGGACGAGGATGTGTTCTTCAGAGATTACGCAATTTCACACAAGAAACTCTCAGAACTAGGATTTAATCCGCCAAGAAAAATTCCTTCAGCAGTGACGCAGCAGACACTTGGAATCGTTGTTGCTGCAGCTATGGTGATCTTTACCATATGTTATGAAGCAAGCAGAAGAGGCAAGTGAAGAGGTTTCACAGATGCGAAAAGGGTTTAGAGATAAATGTACGAATCTCTATTGAATGAATGCAATAAATAGAATGATTCATGTGTTGTTACCTTCGTGCTCCTTTTCAAGCTTCATTGCTCCAAAATTATAAATGTTGTTTAATCATACAGCCTCCTAACATTAGTTAGTCACGCCGATAAACAGCATTTTACATAACAGCATGTGAACTGTCTGTCACATGGCTCTCTCACAGACAGTGACTACTTTCACCAAATCAAAGAAATAACGTTTAACCGAGAAACGAACTTTATGGATGAGAAGTATACAGTTTCTATAGAAAGAACCACAAGAATAAAGTAACTGATTAGATTGCAATAACCCTCTAAATGTCAATTACTCATAATTTCCATAACAACCAATCTGACTCAAGAAGAAACCATGTTCTGTGTGGGAATAGCACTAAAGCTACCCCAAAAGTACTATATTCAAGAAATGGGAAATATCCACTATACAAGAAACAAATACTAATAGAGATGAATATATTGAAGTAGATTATATATGAACAAAATAACATTTATTTCGAAGTAGTAGAATAACATTTATTTCTCAGAGTCACGCAATGGGAATAGCACAGCATAACACTATCATGGGTAAAATCAACAGTCAAATTTTTGATAAACAGGTTTCTCGGCGACATATACTTAGCCTGTGATCCATTAGTATCTATCTTGTGAGACCCTGACAAGTAGCAAAAAACGAAACTTAAAGCGCCCTGAAACTATCCGTTTTATCTAGCCTGGCAGTACCAGAGCTTGATGATTCACCGACTGGATCAGGAGAAGTTGCCGCTCTAGAAGAGTCTCTTCTTTTCAGCGAAGTTGGCAATCCCGAGATCTCCTATAAAAGTAGACTCATATTCAACACTAAAACTGTTCATTACTCCAAATCACAAGACACAAACTAAATGGGTGAAACAATTTCAATAAACTACCTTCATCAAATGCAACCTCATGTCAGTAGGACGAGTCTGGTTTCCGATGCAAGCCATAGCAAACTTGGAATAACTAAACAATACATCAGCAGCAGCTTGCTTCTTCTCATCAACCTATAAGATATCATAAGCTCAACTTTTCAATAACAATTATCCAAGAAATCACCAAAAGTCAAGAACTTTAGTCAATCATCAGAAAGAAAGAACACATCTCATGATTCCGGTTTAAGGATAGAAGCCAAAAGACCTAACCAAGAAAGAACACATCTCATGATGACAGTCACTAATAATCCTAAAGCTTTGACTTTTTCCATTCCATTAACACTGAAGAAACCATAGCTTGAATACTTAATTCTCAAAACTATGAAATCTGAATGTTGAATTTCATGTCGCATGTTAAAAGACGCAACTTTCAGAGTAAGTACCAAGAAATTTGAATAAAGATTAGGTTTTTTTCATGTTTTCCCCAATTAATCAGGAAAAACGAATCCGATTTGATCCAAGACAATCTGATTTTAAAATACTAAAGAAAACACACAAAATTAAACAATTCGATCAGAGGCGGAGATTGAGAAATCAGAATTCGCACCTCGTAATCTTCTTTCATGGCGAAGAATCGGGTTCCTCTGTTTCGAGTTCTTGCTCTCTGGGCTTATGGTGAAGACAACCTAACTTAGCTAAGTTGGTCAGAGCTTCAAAATTTAAACACGAAGGTCGCAGGTTCGAAATCTGCTCAATGTGTCAATTTATATATTAATCTCTCTTTAACTTGTTGTGGCTGAAAAAGTGAAAATACACAAACACCATTATGTTTGCTTACTATAAAACGACGTGTAGTCTATTCCGGGTGCATAAAAACGGCAAAACAAGACTTCATCACTTTGTCCGATCATGTTTTCGATCAATGATATTTTTTGGTTTTATGATATTTTTTTTTTTTCTTTTGTATTTTATCAATCAGTATACACAAGTTTTGTTCGACTTTTAAACTTTAGCAGATCAAAATACAAGATTTGGGATCCAATCAAAAACCGGAGCAAACACAAACAATAACTACATGTTTGTATAAATCTCAAAGAAGCGAACACACAACAACGAAAAACCTAATCTTTTTAACTATATGCTCTGTTTCTTGCTCCTGTACCAAGACAATGAGACAGATGTATATAAAATAACACAACATCAATGAGAGAAAAAAAGCTTCCTTCCTCTACTTAGAACTCTTTTTCCCTTTCTTCTTTTCTTTAGCTGCCGCTTTAATCGCGGTTTTAGCAAGTGATGATGGTTTCATTGCACTCTTGGGATTAAGAGCTTGTCTGATCTTGAAAACGGTCCACGCCGTTCCAATAGCATGCCCTGCTGCTCCAAGCCCTTCGTTTGTCGCTTGTGCGGTCTTTGCTCCATACCTACAAATCAAAAAACATTCACCATCCCAACAAACATAAGATCGAAATTCGAAAACCAAACCACCAATGTTGTCTTTGGCTTTTGTACTTACTTGTGATCGACGATTTCAGTAGTGACAGTTGAAGATGTTTTCATAACGTTTCTTCCAGCTACTTCAACGGCATCACAAACCTTATCTATCAAAAACAACAATAAGTAAAACATCATCCATCAGAAAAATCTAAGCAAGTTCCAATAAAATAATCATGAAGATCTAACTCTAAGCAAAACTTACTGAATCCATCAAGTGTTGCAAGAACCATTTCTCCAGGAAGTAAACCAAAGAGTTTCTTCCCAGCTTTGCTATTCATCACCGAACTCGAAAAGAATCCAGAAACTTTAATAACACCAGAAAGCACACCATTCGCTACTTTCTCCGTCATTTTCGTCATCTTCTTCACTCTGTTACAAAACCAAATCAAAACAAGAAA